GGGATATACTTCGAATAGTAACTGTCAAGTGAACACGTAGCGCAAGACTTATAATCAAGAATTATTCTCGTCTCACCATCCTACAATATTACTCTTATCCGTCAATTTTACTCCCGAGACGCTCTTATGCTAAGTATCCACTGGACACCCAAGAACACAAGCTTTCAAGTGGAGACGCTGCGTTAAAATCGTGAAATACCGAAAAAAACACGATAGAGGATCGAAACGTGTTCCACTCGTCGTCGCCTCGACGGTGCCGAAAATTTCCTAGTTCCAATCCACGATTTTCTCCCTCGTTTGCCCTTTTTTTTTCTTCATCCCTCAGTCTCGCTCAGCATCATTCACTCCTTCCATTCGCGCTCTCTGTTTCATTTACTCAAACTGTATGTCTCTCTCTCTCTCTCTCTCTACCTAGTGATCATTCGCTTTATTCGTCTCTGTCACTCTTTGACGGAACTTGAAGGATAACGATGCAGCGAAGAATAGGAGAGCGACGTGATCAAGTACAGTAAATCCCTTTTTCCCCCTGCGGTTTATCAACGAATTTTCGATGATTAATGATACCTCCCTTTATCAGAACCTTCGTAGTGTCCTTCAATTCAAAGAAAGAGAGAGAGAGAGAGAGAGAGAGAGAGAGAGAGAGAGAGAGAGAGAGCGTCACTTCACGATCGATCATAGACGATTTTTTTTACATCGAATACCCTTGGTTTTCTCTGAAACTAGAAAATTTGTATACCACCTGCACCTGAACCCTTCTTCTGCAAAATAAGAATGTTTCTAATGCTTGATAAATGAAAATCCAGTTTGGGGAGAATAAAAATCCCCGAAAGAAGAATCGATTTCGATCATATTTGATATTCGATTGCTCGAAATGGCAGGCTTTTAGCGAATATTCCATTGAACGAAAGTTCAGGTCTCTTTCCTGGGAAGCTAGATCATTTTTTCTCATTTTTCTCTCTCTCTCTCTTGCTCTCTTTCAATATCTTTTGCTTTTTCTCTGTGCAATCGACAGGCTCACGGTGATCGGTATGCGGGAATAAAAGAAAGGCAACATTCGTTTTAGACTTTGAACCTTTTTAATACCTATCGAAATAGTGCACGAAGCGAATGTAAAATGTTACGCTGGCTAGTTGTCTCCCTATAAACCCGCGGGAGCACCGGTCCATGTGTGTGTAGGTGTGTGTGTATATGTGTGTCGGGCCACTGGCGAACAAATGGTGTCGGGCACACGACGAAAATCGCTCTTGAGGTCTTTTTCGTTCAGTTCGCGCGGCGTAAGCTTAATTAGGAGATATCGGAACGACGTCGTATTTTGTTCATTGTTTCGAGTTTGTCCCTCGTTAATAGTAAGTAAAATCTTACGCGCTAAGGAAAAATCGCTTGGAACTCGATATCTTCTCTCGATACACCCACGATCTGATCACGGTACCCAAAAAGAAAAGTGTTTCACGTGTGTGCGCGTCAATATCAATGATCCCTGGTTAGATCGTTTCTTCCTTTCGTCTTCTTCTATTCTCTTTTTTTTCCTTTTTCTTTTTCTTACATAGTATCGATGCGGAACGATTCGAGGTGAGATCGTATGTTCTCTTGCGTTCGAAGTGTAATAATAACAACGACCTCGTTATTATTATTATTATTCGTGGATAATAGAGGATTGTTAGGGGAGGGGGCTCGAGCTAGGATCGCCGAAGGTCTTCGTGGATAGGATTGTGCAGAAACTTGAATCGAATCCCCTATTTTGTCGCTTTGCAATATAAAAATACATGGATAAAGTGTAAGCGGAGCTTGCCGGGGTTTTATGTGATCCATGACAATCGTGGCTCTGATCGTGAATTCTTCTAGTTGTGACGTGACAGTCGATCGATCTCTTTAAATATTCGTCTGCCTCGAATCGTTCCGCCCAACAATAACAACACGACATGTACGATCGGCCGACGTCCGTGACAGGAAACAGATTTTCGGTTCCTTAGTGTTTTGTTTCTTTTTTACCTGCTAGACTCGAGCTAACTTTAGATTAAATCATCTTTTGCCTAATCTCAATAGAACAGGTATGTATAATTGCTAGAGAGTATCTCTGATCCGCTACCGTTCGTTCGGTGAAATAGGTAGAATTGCATCACCTACGTGTGTGTGTGTGTGATTGCTGCTCGCTTACCAGCTAGGATGAATTGTTTTGGTTTATTCATTTTGCTACTGCTTAGGAATTCTTTGCGGGCGATCGATCGATCGATCGACCGACCGACCGATCGGAGGATGGTTAGCCTGAGAAGAGAATGGCGCGCTAGTTACGTTCCGAGGAAAGTTTCGATCCATCGAAATAAATCGCAGGATGATATACCGATCTCTTCTCTCTTTGATAAAATAAGTATTTCGGGTTTCGTAAAATATTTGTGGCAATTAAAATATAAAAGAAACAGAATGATCCGATGGTCACACGCATAAACCATCAATACAACTTACATCGGAAGGGAAACGAATTCTCACCGATTGATGGATCGAGAATTGAATGTAGTGCTTTCTTGAAGAAAGATTTTTAAAGAACTCCATGGGAACGGGGCAGTGCGCAATCCTCTCACGCCAACCAATAAAAAGACATATCTCTCCCGCGGTATGTGTCTGTGTGTGTGTTTGTGTACTCAGTTTACAAGTTATAAGGCTACTTTTCAAGCGGTTACAATAATAATGTAATAATCGACAAACTCTCCACTCGTTTACACGCTACTTACTGTGTGTATGTATAATCGGGTGATTCATTTCTCTTTTCGCCGGTTAGTCAATAATGTTAATGGTAATAGTAATTGGTAATAGTAGTAATAGTAGCAATATAGTAATAATAATAACGTTATCATTATTATTATCCTTACTGTTCCTCGGTAATTCATCTTTTTTTCGTCCTTTTCCACCGTCCTTCTTTGCGTCGTTTTCATTTCTTTTCTCTTTTTTTTTTGTGTTGAAACTGTCATCTGTATGTAGGTTATATATATAATCCACATCAGTTCCACTGCTCTTTCTCTCCGTGCGCCCTTTATCAAGCTCTCTTCTTTTAACGCTTTTGTCCCGCCTGTACCAACTCCCTCACCCCCAACCCTTTCTTCATCGAGTCTCTGAACGAACTCTTACGGATCTAAAAAGATGTCGGCACGACCGCGAACGACCGAGGCATCGGGAACCCGTCCGACGCGTTCGCCTCGCCTGTTATCGCGGTTCGTTGATAACGAGAATTGTTGTGGTCCGATTGTTTTCCACTTGCGCGCGCGACTGTTCACTTGCTTCACGGACACCCCACCACCCCCTGGATTCGACTGTTGTCGACTGTTGTCGCGTTTTTTTCTTTATTTCGGGTTGTCGTGTACCCCTTGTTCGTTCGATCGTGATCGACGAATTGTTTCGAACTGTTTATAATTTTGCTTCTTTTCTTTTTTCGTTTGTTTTCATTTGGTATCGATATCGTATTCATACTGCGACACGGTCGTCTTGGACGAAGGATATAAAACGAGGGTTGACATATTCGCCATTGAGGCTATTTATTTTCGTTTCCATTCTTTGTAGATTGAATGAAGTGATCCTCGTTGTTTTTAGGATATTGTATACGGAATGAAGTTGTAAAATTGAAGGTTAATGTAAATTTGCAGTTTGGTGTAAAATTTTGTCAACTAAATGTGTGACCAGCTTTACGTAAGACAGAAGTTTTAGAGTCACCGTGACGCTTTGAATTCGAAAGAATTGAATACACACTACTTCTCTAAAAAAATAGTTTCATATTTCGTGTTTTCAAAGGGGAATTCGAGTATGATTCTCTTTACTGAATTTTCGAAAGAAGATAATGATATGATGTAATATTACGTCAACGGTAGCGAATGTGTCAAGTGGTCCAAACGATAAAATGAATCCAGGATTTTATTGGGAAGATAAAGTGGGAGGAATTAGATATCCGGTTAAAGGTGAGAATTCGAGGTTCTTCTGGGTCTACTTGACCCAGATATCTGGACACAAAGAAGTCCAAGAAAATATGAATTCAGATTTCCCTTCTCGTATTATGAAACGAAATTTAGAAAAAGAAAAATTGGGTTGAAAGGACAATCGAAAGTTTTCTAGTAAATTGAACTCGAGGACTGAGTGTTATCGTCGGACAGAAAAAGCTGACCGGCAGAAATTCGACTGGAATGGCACTATCATGAAAAATTATTCCCCCGATATGCGGAGATATTAAAAATCGTGGCGGTTGGAATATTCTCGTGACGGTACAGATATATTTCACGTGATGGGAACTTGATATCGCCTCCATGGGAGATATCCAGAGGATAAAGAGAACCGAGACAAACAGCCAATCTCTCGGCTATCGTGAACTTAATTATTTCACCACGATATTGTATATATTTTCCAATACGAGAATATGCAAACTATGACACAATAAAGGTCTCGAGTTTACAGCTGATGTTCTCCATTAAATTTGTATATAGACTGCGGATTTTCTGGTTTAAATTAAATCCATCGTTCGAACGTACATGAATTCTCCAAGAAACCTCTCCAGGAATAATAATACGAAACAAGAAAGGAGAAATCTACGAAAGATACGAATATAGATTTCCTAGATCAAGTTAAGTCTTCAGATCCAGCGAGCCCCAAATCCCCACCGAAAAGTCTTTTAAGGACGACTAATATCGCGAGAAGAAAAGGAAACGAGGATAGAAATTCAGATCTTTCGGATGAAATTAGGTCTTCCAGGATAATCCAGATCCTCTGAAAAAAAATTCTGAGCCAAACTGAAGGTCCTCGAGATAGAATTTGAATCTTCCTCGAAAAGTCCATCTCGAGTTCCCTAAAAAAAAATGAATCACTGGGGAGTCGACCGTGTCTTTCTTGATTGTGATTTTCATTTCTTTTTCGTTCAGTGTTCGACGGGCGACAACCGTCGACTCGTCAGCGTCCAGTCAGCAAGATGGCCAGCCCCTGATCAGGCGTGAACGTTGTCGGTGCACGGCGCAACGTTCGCCTGACCTTGTTCTCGCGTTCGATGGATCCCGGTGCTTCCGTTCGCGGGTATTTCGTCGCTTCTAGCGACGTATTAGCCACGAATGGTCCGCCCGACCAGAAGAACGGTCATCGCGACCACGACGACGACCAAGACGCTGCTCGACGTCAACGAGGGCCCGGAATTGCATCCGTCTTGCTGGCAACAGTACGTTCTCGTGCTCCAGGCCTCTGAAACAAAATGCCCCATTGATGATTAACGATCAGAGGATCATCGAACACGGTTGAAAATTTACAGATCAGGACAAACAGTACAGTACTAGTACAGCCTTTCGCAAACAAACGTGTGAGTCACTGCATGCCTGATCACATATTGATTTATACTACTGAAATTGTAGTTAATTCAACCTGTACCTAACCAATTCTGCGTAATTGTTATTCAAATGACATCTGGCCTTAAATGTAAATCTACAATCAGTCAATAATACAGTATAATAATTCGACGACTGATCATTCAGTGTTTATACTACTCAGTTTTGTGAAACAATGGTATTGTACCATTTTCCGTATTGAGGAAGCAGTTATCGTTACAGCTGCACTTACGTCTTTTGTTTCTAGTCACGAGAGAAATTTCAAAGAGAAGGGAAATTGCTCGGAATTGCATTCATCCCCATAGAACCTTCATCCGCAGCACATTTGATATACCGAAACCCTTCCCAGAAGAAATTTCCGTCGGCTCCTTCCGACCTTTCCTCTATTTACACACATGAAATATTCACGATGGCTGCGGGGATGCCCTCAAAGACACGACTCCCTTAACTATTGAAAAAGTTAATTTTCGTGGTGAATTGTCGGAGTAAGCAAAGTCACGTGGACGGGCGAGAGTTATAAATCTCAGATGTTCATGCATAAAAAATTCTTTCTCTCTCTCCATGGAATACTTTCTCAGCTTCTTTTCGGCTTTACTTCTCGGCTGTGAGGAACAATTCGAGGGATCGATCTTACCCTCGTTACGAATGAGAAAGTCGACCTGGCGCGGATCCCCTAAACGAGCGTAAGAAAATAGAGGGGAACGTAGCAGCAGCCAAAAGGTAGAAAATAAATCTGCAGGAACCAGCTGAAGAATGGAGAAACGAGGAACAGCAGCTACGTGGAGAAACAACTTCAGGCTTTCTATTGGTCCTAGATCGACTTCCAGACAGTTTCTTCGTCGGTTGGATAATTCTCGAAATTGGAACATTCGGCAAATTCACGGAGATACGGAGTGGAAGGCGTGGAGAATGGAAATTCGGATGGTAATTGAATTAGAAACAGGGGGAATCCGGTAAAAGGAAGAGTTACGAGGACTAATCCGTGAAAACAGGATCGACGAGGAAAAAATTTAACACATTGACTGGCAACACGTACACTCCATTGTATGAGAGGGGGCGGGGGGTATGTGGGATTACAAAAGTTTCCTGGGATTTTCGGTTCGAAAGCGGAACTAGCGTCGTGACGCCCCGTGCTCGTCGCTCGTTTTTCCAGGACATTTTGCATGAGTCGTTCCCGTTCGATAAGAAGTGTTCGGAGTTCACGGGCTCTTTAACTTTCTTCCGGGTCCCCGATGGTCGTCAGTTATCCCGGACGCCGGACGGAAACGGGCTTTAACGACACTCGACTTTAATGGAAGAAATCGCTGGGAAGGGGAGGAGGTGGGGTTGCTCGCTAACGAATTTTCTGAGCGTTCTATCCACCGCCACTAGGAGCAATTCCTTTAATTGCCGTCATTTCGACCAAAGGAGGATGCTCCCTCGTTGCCTCGAAGATCTTCAGAAGTAGGGGCGAACATGTACGGATGTAAGCAGTACAAGACAGCTACTAATGTAGTATGGATCCACGGTTAATCGAGTAATTGGCGGAGGTCAGAATTCGGGGTAAGCCAGTAGTGTAAGCTTGGGTAAGGTCAGACCGGTAGTTCAAGTCTGTGGTAGAGATCCACCTCTGATCGCACAAATGATGTACAGATCTAACTAGAATCCTATTTTAATCGATCCACTCGAATATGTCGAAGATCAACATTGTTTTTTAAAATGCAATCGTATATTTTTTAATAGACTACTTGATGCTGCTCGTTATTCCCTAGATAAAGTACTAAGTCATTTATGGCGAATTTAAAAGTAAACATTACACCTGGAGACTTTTCCTTGTAAGTCGAAACCTAACAGTAGTATAGGTCCGACTATCGTCAGACTACCTGGATAAATCATACCCTATCCATTGAATCGTTATTAATACAGTCACATTCAGGAACCAACATACCAGCTACCTGCTTTCTCAATAGCAGAACATTGCTACAAGATCGGTTCAGAAAAGCATGTACGTTCCACTTTGCCTGGCATAAGAGAGATACTTCGAGGGATGTCCAGAAGGAAGATCCACGAGGAATTTCGGTGAGTTCATTGAGACGATACGGTTTCGCCTGTCGGGTCAAAGGTCCGGGGCGAAAAATCACAAGTCGTTTCATTCCAAACCAGACAGAGGAAGAGCGATAGAGAGAGGAAGTGGAGACTGCTCCAATTTCTACACGATGTAGGTACCATTCGAAGAGGAGCAATTCCAGCGCGGTTCGTGCGGTAAACCGCGTGTACGCGATTCGACGTAGCCGCGCGTGCAACTCGGATTTCAAAGCTTCGGCTGCTGCCGGATCGACGTCTTTGAGGCGAGGGGAAGGGGATGGGCGGCTCTTCGATTCGCCAGGAATCTTGCCTTTCACCGAAATCGCGTTCGGCCTTACGCGATACTCGAAAGAAGTTCCGAGGTGGATTCAATTCCTCCCCTTTTTATCGCACTGATACGCGGATCCCACTGTCGGAGAATCGTCGGAGTTTCGCGTGTGTTGTACATTTTCGAAGGAAGATACGCGAACAATCGAAATGGTTACTTCGACCTCCTTTCGTTCCCATTTAAATTCATCCGCTGTAATATCATTTTTCCTCCTCAATTGCACAGGCATAACGTTTCTTCCAGCTAGTCCGTGATACTACTTGTTTAGTTATCTATTGACTTGTACTACTTGTTTGAGAAAATATTAGCCCCTGGTGTTTGCTCGATAAATAAGGCTACTACTAAATAATTTTTTCTTTGCGTCCAGTTTCGCGACATTAACCCATCAAATTCAATATTTGTATAAACATCCGCAGTTTAATAATTAGAGTAATCTCGTTCATATCGTTCGATCTCTACTGTAATGGTTAACATTGACAAAGTCAGTGAAAGTAAAAAGATGCTCACCCTTTTCCACACACGTCGGCACGCAGTCCCGCACTGTCGACCCCTCGCTCACGTATTTCTGAAACAGACAGAACCACATATCTTGTAAAACACTGAGATATTAATCCATATTTAATGTTAAGTAGAATACAAATAGTTCAAACTTGTACAGTGCAGAAGACACTTGAAATCGATTCTTCAATCGAATTACCATGTAATATTCCGTGTAAGAGAGCTGATTGCAAATAGAAAACGGAAAAGGAGATGGTTTGAAGTTCCAAAGAAGATATCGGAATAGATATCAGAGGGGAAAACGGGACAGAAACGAGTACAAGGGCTATCCAGATTTAATAGAAAAATCAATTTTCCGCCGGTTCCGTCGGATTGAAACAGCGGAAGTCTTGAAATCGACCGCCTCCGCGAAAAGGAGAACAATGATAGCGGTGAAATTTGAATTTATATTGGACCCGACGGTCGTCCGTGATTCTCCGCTGTGCGGTACTTAATTCCGCGGATATTCTCGCCTACGGTGTTTACGTATACATTACATGCATATTCATGCACAGTGACATTTGTCGAAAAAATATGATATCCGGAGGGGTGGCTGGGAAGTATTAAGGGCGAGCTTTGGATGGTAACGAACAACCGTGGAGATTTACATCGTGCGAGGATATTTTCACCTCAACTCGAATCGAGACATGGAAATAGATAGAGGATCCTAAATAAATGGAGGAACAAGATAAATCTGAATCATCTCACAACTAAAAAAATATCGAAGATACAATTGATATTCATGATTTAGACCCGAGTCGAATAAACCGTTGACCTATTCCACTTATTCTTTTATTGACACCCTTTCGGCGGCTGACCATGCACGGATCGTCTCTACTTGTCAATTACTTATGCAGTCATTAATAGCTCACCGTTAAAGGGTTAATAGTGAGGATTGTATTGTTCAAACTTGACCCACAAATATGGTAAATTCGCTAGCACAAAAAGATCCTACCTAAATTCCGGATTCTTTGCTCCCCCTATATTCCAAAATTCCTCTTTTCCATGAACAACGATGAAATTCCGATAAAAGTCTCAAGGCGAACGACGTCGTTTCGATTCGCCGCCGGACCAGCCCTCGGGTAACGCAGGTCAATATCAATTTCAATGTTTCCAGAGAAAACATCGAGAACGACTATTCTTTCCCCCGTTGCACATTTTCACGGCGTAGAAATCAGATCGTACAATCGATTCCAGCCGAGTGATTCTCGATTGGGCGACGTTGAACTTCTTAATCGACGCCCTGGTGGCCGGCCGCAGACCGGGTTTCCAACGGGGGATGGAAACAATGGACTAGGACCGGTCGAATTTACATCGAAATCGACTCGCGGCGCCACTTAATTCCTTGGCCCTTTCGTGGCCCAGATTCCAACGTTCATTTATCTTCATTATTCTCTCGTTATGGTCGTCGGTGATCTGGGGATTGACCTGTACTACTTTGTCCGACCGAATATTGACTTGCATCCCTTGACGGACCGCACGTAGAATAACTTAAACCACTTGTTTGGTTGAAACGCTGACCTATATCACTGTCTGATAGAGGAGTGAGCTATATTATTTGTGGACGAAATTTCTAAGTTGTACTACTTGTTGAACTAGACACTACTTCCTTAACTGGTGGATCTACGGACATATATGTCGTATGTAATTTCACTGACTATATATTGACCTACACTTCTTGTCTGATTAACTATTGACCTTCGCTACGTGCCCAAGATTACGCTTAATTCCCGACACTTTCGAACAGCCCCTATTACGCGGCCTTCATTTGTCTTCATTATTCTCTCATTACGTTGTTCTATTCGGCCAGCGTCTACTTTCGCACACGCGACTACTTTACTGTTACCCACCCCTCGGAATCGATCAGTACCTTCGCTCTCGGTTCGTCTGGACAAAGCATGCTAATCGCCACGGAACAATGAATCTCCGGGTCGCGGAGATTTGTTGGTCAGTTCCGTGATCTATGGTATTTGTTCGTCCAAGGAGATGTCCATTTATCGCATTTTGAAACAGTGAATTCTTTTTGTAACGATCTTGATTTTTTTATTGGCTCTATTTAAACTGTCAAAAAACCATAGCTTATAGAGTCTTTAATTACCATTTCGTTTTTTTTCCAGTTACATGTTTCATTTTTTTTATTATTCGTCCGATTTATGTAAACATGTATATATTCGTAATAAATAGTATCTCGTAAATAAAATAAAAAATAGTACTAAAATAAAAGTTGTACAACAGTGGCCTTGGTGAGATAGTATCTGGGTAAAGTAGTATAGCTTTTATTCTCTATGTTCTCGAACAGAGCAACTTATGTAAAAAGTTTCAACCGAAGAAACTTACCTGCCTCGCGATCGTACTGGATACCCTACATACGCGTTACCCGTAGAAATAATTACACTTCTGAAGGTGCCCTTCATGCTCGACAACGACGATCTAAATTACTGATCCGCACGAAAAACATTCATTAATAATGGAACACGTGGCAAAAATATCCTGCCGTGTATTTAACGATCATGATAAGTCACTTATCTGCGCCCATTCGAAAACCCTGAATAAGCATGCGAACAATTCACCGCGAAAGTTTCCTCCAATTCCTTTTTGTCCTGCCAGAGTGACTCACGCGTACTTGCATGCACCAAGTCAGATCCATCATTAATTTGTAGACTCTTGTTTTTTTTTCTTTCTCAGGATAACTAAAATATTTGCTAACAATTCTGATTTCTATGCATATGCATATACACTGTTGTTTGTTGTAATTAAATATGTGGCTTTCTTTATGAACACCAGAACACCGACTATTTGATCGATCTCGATAAATAAAATAATTTCCGTGCCGGTTGAAAATTTGTGAATTTAACGCAAACCAGGAATACGGCTTAATTCTTCGATGGTAGTTTATATGACTGCCCCAGCGGCGATTTATCGAAATGTTGAACGCGTGTATGCTCGCCCGTATCAAGACACGAGTTCATTTATTTTTTTCCACGCCGCGAGGAAATTCCGTCGTTGTTTCGTGTTTATTCGTAAAAATAATCACCTCGAATTTCACTGTATTCTTCTCGTTTCGTCGCATACTTATTGACAAGTGATCGATTTGTTCGTAAACAATCTGTTACAGGTAGTCTATCGGATTAAATATGGACCGATATTACTTGTCGGACTATAAATTGGCTTATACTAGTTGTTTTGCAGAATAACGGATTCTTACTGACAAAATTTAGGTATTAATCGGCGACTGCATTTGACGCACTTTTAAATGGGCGTTAAATGGTTAAAGCTTGCTCGATCAGGAGTCTGTGGACTTGCTTGATCAACATCAGCCGGATTTTGCACGACGGCGTGAAAGTCTTTCTCTGGCTAGTTACCGTTGAATCCGCAGTTGGCCGAAACCAACGATTATGTTTCACAAAACAAATAGTGATCCGATGAAGTTTTCCCGTGAAGTCTCCCGTATCCGGCTTCGTGGAATTTAAGCCGCTTACTGTTCCAGTTTGGCCAACGGAGGATGAAGGAATTCGGTCTGAATGGAATAATAACGAGGGAAAATAATAGGACGGGATGGGAACCGGACCGAAACTAATGCTTTTGGACTGTTAAAAGGCACTTGATTTACTAATAAGCTTGAGCGATTTTTTCGTATATTTCACGCTTAATAGGGGTGAGATTTTTATATACTTATAGGGATGAGACAAGTAGTATGAGTCAATGATTGATGCAGTAAGTAGTGTATGTCAATAATAATTAGGTAAGTAAAAATGAATTATGCTTGAACGTGTATTTCACTAACACAACTGAAGCTTCAGCAACCGAGTTCACTGAAATTCATAACACGTGCATCAATAAACAAAGTGACCAGGATTTATTTAACACGAACGTGACGATTAAACGGTGCACGCGTTCAGTACACATTTCGCAACGAGAGTGCCTCTGTCATCCGGACTGTTGCGAAAGATTAACAAGACGAATGGCCAGTAGTTTCATGGGAAACCGTGATGAATATCAACGACGAATTTTCTCCGTCGAAAACGGTATTTATTCGTCGACGCGGACGGAATTTTCCTTGCCTGTCTCGCAACGAGGTCTTTTCGTTTCCCATCGTCAACCACGGAGAAGAACCGAAACTCAAGAAAGAGGTGGAAGGAGGAGGCTGATTCCTCGAGCTTCCCTGCACTTAAAGACCCAAGCGGAATTCGAGATGGGAGTATCGATACCTGAGAGAAAGAGAGGACCTGGCACCAATCGTAGCTCCTTATCGTCGCCGCTGGGCGTTGTTCGCAGTGTCTTAAGTGCTTTTCAGCCGACTCGAAAGGCGAGCCGGCTGCTCCGGAAATTGGGGACCGCCTATCAGAAGGGTCACGATTTTATAGGGCCTGGCTTCTTCAGCGACAACTGGCCGTGAAACCCTCGACAATCGGTGCCAGTTACCGCCGCGATTTCGTTACTCCTATAGTATATCGATCGAGATACAAAAGATGATCTATTGTATCAAGTAAAAAAGGAAGGTTGTGCCATTTTAATCAATCAATGATAAATGGTATGTGGATCAAACAATACTCCAGAAAAATAGTTACCTTTGTCTTCTATTACTTTTACCCGACGATTTAACAACCTTTCCATTCCTTTCGTATCAAAGTTTTTCTCTCCTGTATCTAAAAGGTGATTTAACTCTTTCATTTTCAAGTTATTTAAAATGTTATCAAAGAGTATGCATTTTGTTAGCTGATATTTATACAACCGGAAAGTTTTCGTTATTTCGTCAATTCCATCTAATAATGATTTACGTCAACCGTCTAACGAATGGCTTATACCACTTCATCGATATATCGTTCATCTATACTACTTGCGCACACCTGTCACGTTCCTGTATTACTTGTCGCCCCAAATATTGATCCACGCTACTTTCTTTATTATCATTGGTGTATTTTCTCTACCTGACAAGAGTACACTTTATAACAATGTACGTCCCGTAATGATCGTAGACGTATCGCAGAGCCCATAGAGCGTCCTTGGAACACGTTGCAACGATCTTGT